TTGACTAGCCTCTTAATTAGCATTGATAATTAGTCCTCTATGTGACAGGACCTGTCAGTGGCCTGTATTGATGGCTTGAATGTCCCCTTGCTTGTCTCCTTGTTAACTCCCATCCAATCTTGACAGCATTCTCCACGTGTCTTGTCCATTTTACCACTGGGGGCCCTTGTTGTCTGATCGTCACCTTGTCTGTCTGTCTGCCAGGACTAGGCACGAGGGACATGATGGTGAAAGCCGCTAAATGCCGTGCTGACAGTAAACAGCTGTGGTAAACAAGTCATGTCCCCGTCCCCTTTGTCTCACATGTCCTGTATCTCATCAGCACCTAAGCTGGCATGCCCTTGAGCCAAGGCAATGACCTGCTATTGATTAGACAAGACCATTATGTGTGCTGGGATGTTAAAGAATACACCTCACATACCTCTGTGACAGGCACGCTGGCAGGCTTCATACACACACCTCCATGACCTCCGGATAGCTGCATAATGATTACACAATGATCGTTATAATGCCTAGAGATCCAGTGAAGTTGATGATACAGTATAAACAATGTTATCAGAATTCGTCCATGTGTTAGTTCAGAGGAGGCTGTATTGATGTGGACTGACGCACCTGAAGTTTTTCTGAATATTTCCACTAGCACCACCTCTGTAAGCTACAGCCCGCCAACTGTTTCCTGGCTCACACACACATAACTTTCTGCTGCAGCAGCAGCCTCGTTCCAGACCCTATGGTTTCCCCCGGCAACAGGCCAGACAGCAGTCAGGGCATCCTCTGCGTCTCCGACCATTCGCCCCATGGATGAAGTTCTCCTTCAGAAGCTGACCGTCCATCACAAAACCTCCTGTAATAGACGGTGAGTCGTGACAAGCCAAGCTGAGAGGCCATCTGCGCACGGTGGGGTCTGGGAGATATTTTTGTCGCTGAGCGTGCCTGGCCAAAGAGCTCAGGACTGGCACCGAGCTCTGCTGATGAAAGAGAACGGAGGAAAACACCAAAACTTTCCTGAGGTCAGAATGAAGATGTCAAGGATACGAGGAGTGTGGCTGTTTGTTTATACAGTATAAAAGGTATATGAGCACGATTGTGAGTGTACTGCATATCAGTGCATCAGCTTCTGACAATCAGCAGTAGATTAGTGACTACCTACATTCAAGCCATTGTCATTTTCAGTCATGTGAGCAGCATGGCTGTAGGGATGGGAATCCCTTTATTCCAGACAACTTTCTCAAACTATTAAGTGGATTTCCATAAATTTTTGTTCATACATTCATGATTAGCAGAGGATGAATGCGAATGGTGGCGTTCTCGAGCCTCACCAACACGTCAGAGTTTTCACTGTGACAATATCTACTGGATGAAATGTCATGACCAACATCGGGTCAAAATTTTAATTCGTCCAATACTTTGACTTCATACTTCAAAAACTAGACAAAAATACCATCAGGCTCAGCTGTTCTGTATTAACAACCATTAGCATCATAACATGCTAAACTGAGACCATTAACAATGAACATGGTAAACATTTTACCTGCTAAATATCAGCATGTTACACAGCAAAATTACAGCTGTGCCACTAGCATGGCAGCAGACTCTTGTTTGTTTGGAATGATTATGCACTAAGATTAACATAAAAGTATAAAAGTAAGGACATAACCTTACTTTGTCCATCTGTAGTTTTATCTCAGTCTAATCAGTATCATCAGCTAGCAGTCTAATGAGGCAGACTGTGAGGCCCATACACACACACACACACACACACACACACTCTCACACTCACAGCAAGTCTGGCCTGATGCAGGACTCACAGACAAACAGCCAGATGGGGTGTAAACATAGACTCTGGAGTCATGTGGAGAGCGTTGCCATCAGCCTGCCGGGTGAAGAATGAAGTCCTGCGCGGACTCCCAAACATACGCAAAAGCATACCCTCAAAGGCCAAGGTGACAGACTCACTACAATGGGGCTTTCTTGCATGTTCACAGAACTAACTTGCCAGGTGTACCCTCGGGGGTGGCTGTGGCTGTGTGTGTGTGCATTTTATATCCTGGTCAGGACTTAAACCTGAATACACACTAACCCATGTTAGTGACTCATGTCACTGTGGGGAAACAAATTGAGGTTCCCATGGGTTCGAGACTGCTGTTTGAGGTTTAAGACTTAATTTTAGGGTTAGGATTAGCCTTAGGTGATTAGTTGTGATGGTTAAGGTTAGGTAAGAGGCTAGAGAATGCATTGTGTCAATGAGTCCCCACCGGGATAGTGAAACAAGTCTTTGTGTGTTGTTTGTGGTAAGACAAACCACAGAGCCTGAAGTGTACGCCCAGGCAGCCTGTTCAAACCGAGGATGGATTGATTACAAGTTAACAGCTTTTCACCTTTATAGCAACCACAAGTTTTGTCTCACAGATCATTTTTTATCATTGTGAGAAATTGGAAAAGAAAAAATAAAAATGACCGAATCTCCATCTTTGTCTCTATGCCAGTTGTTTCAATTACACAGTTGTGACAGATAGATAGTCCAGCAGATGACAGGCCGTACCTGAGTATCAACAAGGTAATGACAGGGGAAAGTGACAGATTATGCCTCTGCGTTGCTCCATCATGCTCCAGTCTGGTGAAGAATGGAGGTAGCTAAACATCAATGGCTTGAGATAGGGAAAGACCTTTGTTTTTGTTTTTTTGTGTTGGGATCTATATGAACAGTATGTAAGGATGTTCTGTATAGATGAGGGATGATGGAATAGAGATGACTGTTTTTCAGTTTATGCACGTCAGTGACCAGATATAACTTCCTTCTGTTAGTGACATTGTTTTTGTTTAACTGTACTATTTCCTCACTCTTGGTGATTGGGAACATTGTTGGTATTCTGGTTCTCTACTTATTCATTATCTGAGCACGATTGTCATCATTACTCGCCCTGCTAGCTTAATGATCACAGGCTTAGCAACAGCACTCATAGATGCTCCGCTGTTTAGCAAAAGCGTTGAAGTTATTGATATTGTCCCTAATGTAGTGAGGGACAATTGGGCAGGGGGATGATGTGTGTGCTCACCTCTGAATTTAAATAAGGCCTCAGCGAATAAGTAATTGCTTTTGTGTGATTCATACCAGCATCATGCATTTGGCTGACGTGAGTGAAATGCAGTTGAGTTAGCCTCACTTAATTCATAACGCAGTGTGTTGTACCTTGAGGATTTACACTGCTCATTTCTCCAGGAGCTAGTCTCTAGTTATTTACTGTACCTCAGTGGGTGTGTTGGAGATGATAGAGGGGGTGTTGTAAGGGTTTGTTTTATATTACTTTATGTTACACATGCCCAAAATCTGAGTGGAGATTTGAATGTGTCATGCATCATAAATATTAAAAACTATGAATGTCTTAAATCTTCATTAATTTTTCACCTTCTTCCTACATAGGTGGAAACTTTAGTTTAATTTGCCAGTTTGTTAGCCAGCTATATCTAGGACTGTGGGTCCTGACCTTTATAGCATCTCATACTTCTAGCATCAGAGCACTCCTGTGTTTTCCTTATATCATTCCCAAATGCAGCTGACTCATAGACCTTTCTGTACAATAAACAACTGAACAACTTGTCATAGCAGTTAAAGCACAAGTGAAACTAATATCAATAATTGGTCAATTCCAGAAAATATCCCAATAAAATTTATAAAATAACAATGCTATTACTTACACCTGTGCAACTCCAAATGTCTGTTGTAAAAAAAAAAAACACTTATAGTATGAACTGAACAGGTTTTCTGGCCACTTGGGGGCAGCTCAGCAAGCTTGTTGACATATAACCTTGTGTTGACATATTACCGTGCAGCTTTAAGTTTCACTCATAGCGCAGCAACTCTTCCATGGTCCACACCCAGTTTTGGTAGCACTGAAGTAGTACATTTTTTTGGCAATATACCTGTAGCTCATCTAAAGATAATTAGCTTTAACTCCATGTTCTCAGACATGAAACTGGGCAGGAATGTGGCTCGTACCTTCCTGGATTACTACAAACTCAACAACCTTATCAAGGACAACAGACCAACTCACATCGAAAGGTAAAGCAGTATTGTGTCCTGAATAAATACTAGTTGAAACTAAATCGATTAACTTAAATACCTTCTCTCTTTTGCATATTATTGAATGCATTGTTGTTTTGATATTTCCTGAACTTTGTGCTACCATCTCAATCATTCTCGTTAATGTTTTTGTCTCCAGTTCCGAGGTGATGCCCCAGACAGGCAATGGAAAGGGCATTGGCGCTGGCAGAGACGCAGTGGACAGAGAAAGGGAGAAAAGCCAGGGTGTCAGGCACTAGACAGAAAGACGGACAGACGGACACAGACTGAGCATGTATAAAATGCAGAGCACCGTGGCAGGAGGATCCTTCACACTTCATTGCCTTTAGAAGCTCCACATCTCCATGGTTATAAAGACTTATTCACAGATTTGTAACAGTGGGGTGACTGGTACTTGAAGGACTAAAATCAGAGCAAGTTTCCTCCTGGGTTATTTAGTGGCTATAAAATGTGGACTATTGAATGGCAAGGGAAGACAGACTGGTTACTCATCTTTATTCCAGAACCATCTTTGTGTTCATTGGTTGTAAATAAATGCATGCTTCCTTGCATGACTTGGATGATGTTATTATCTCTGTTGGTAATATTATTAATTAGTCATTAAACATTTAATCACTTAATCATAATGTTGTACCTGTTACTCTCTTATAGCAATAATGGGAATGTTAATGATTGCTATAAATTAGACCTACAGTTATGTATGGATTATCAAACAGGCCTACTGGGGGGGGCTTTACAAGTCTGTGCCCCGGTGCCCATTTTCTTGTTATCCGTCCATGCTTACAGTATCATCACATACCGTCTCTGGCGGTCATCCAGAATTCATAAAAAAACACGGTTACATCCGTAGATCTCTTTGTGAGGTTGGTTTTTAGCTGTGGACTGCTCTATTAGTTAACTGCAGATTTCAGGTAAACTTAACGCAAGTTTTTGATAAAATGAAATGTAGTGTTGAGGGCAGAAACCTTTGTGCATGTTTGTACAGAGAGTTTTTGATTTGCTACTTGTCGGTCACATGACCTTACATCCGCTCTGTGACTGTTGCTGTTTGGCAGCTATGACAACGAAATTTGAAAGTTGGATGAATGGCCTCTATGAAGAAAAAGCTTTCGTTTTCTAAAGTGCCTCAAAACTCTCTGAAATATACCGTATACGTGGACATTCAGGCAGTAAGTTCGTCCTTATGCTTTTCCCTTGCTGCAAAGTACACAAACTAACCTGCTGTTAACTAAGCTAGCTAGCGAGCTTACATACTTCCCCACCGTAACCAAACAACGTCTGTAAGTTAACATGTAGCTAGCGTTTGTTTATGTTAGCTTATCCAGATTAAATTAACCAACTGGGCACCCAATACTTGTATTTGAATGTATAACGTGTCTTTATGTAGGTTTTTACATTATCTGCTTCATTTTAAACTGGGCTAAATTATTCGCTAAACATGTACAAGGCTGGTTTGTCATAAAAAAAAACATTTTAGCAATAAAGGACACAAACTAAAACAACAGGATGCTTGGCATGTCTTAACAGTTTCACTATTCCTGCACAGGTCACGTGTCCAGGAGTACTTCTAACTAAAAAGAATGATGTCTACCTCAGTGTGTGTATCATGGGCCAGTACAGAAAGACTCCCTGTTTGCCCCCTGTATTCCCTTTACTCTTCCACCACAAAATGGTCTTTGTCAAGGTGAGAATAACAATTTATTATAGAAGTAAGGGATTCCCGCCTGGCCGGGACACAAGCTGTAGGACTCCCAACTGCCTGTCTGTTTTTTTGTTTTGTTTTGTTTTTTTCAGATTTGCCGGAATGACTAGTCCACATTTTGTACAATGTCAAGAAGGAATGCATATTATACTTTACCTTCATGCCTTCATGTCACAACTCTCCTGGGATAGTAACATCTATTCATTGTACTTTTATCTACACTATAATCTATATTAGATTAATCACAAAAAATCTCCTTCCCAGTCTTTCCTTTTTTCTATTTGAATCCTTATGCTTATGTTTATGCCATTTGTTCTTGCTTAGTTGCATTTGCATTCACTTGGGGCAGCTTTCCTACATAATTACTCATCTCTTTTTGAGTAGTGAGGAGCTACTTAAGCAACTGAGCAGATTTTTGCATTAAGTCTAACGATTTAAATCAGCAACCCTTCAGTTTGAACAATACTAGCCCAAGTCCTGATAAAAGATACCTTCCTTTCCTTGGGGAGAATGGCAGAGTTAGATACTGCGCTGTCTGTCTCATGTTGTTATAAGTATTGATTTGTCTGTACTCTGCCTGTTTTACCAGACTTTACCCGGTGTTGTTGACCCTGCTGATGTAGCTGACCTCCTCGAAGGTAAACGGCCATCTGGGATTTGCTTCCTCATCTCTTAGTCCTGAATCCTCTGCTATGCAAGCTTATAGGCTATTAGTTGTGATACTGATCATTAGCTCACAGTCAATTTGTGCTTTCCTTCCTCTCAGCTGACACGACATCTTTTGAGCTGATTCAGTTGGTGCCTCCAGGTATGCTTTCTGATGATGCCATATGGGCATGTTAAGTCCCCACTGTATCCAGTCATTACACTGCAAAAATAGGATTTCTGTGCGTGTGTGTTTGTGTTCCTGTTTACTGTCTCTTTGTGTACGGTTTTTAGAGGGTGAGGTCCTAGCCACGATGGAGGAAAGCAGCAGAGACTTCCTGTACCCTGGTCCCAGACAGAGCTTCAGAGAAGGATCTGCAGAGAGAGAAGTACTGATGAAGAGGTCCTCTTCCTTTCCCGTAAGCTGTTTTCCATGTATTCCTTTTATTTCCTTCTTAATCCTCCTTCCAACACCTGGGCCAATATTCATCAAACCTCTGAGAGTTATCTTAAGAGAAGACACATTTTTCACTGTGAGCTGTTAGAAACATTTACCAACAAACATTTATCACTTCTTTTTAAAGTATCTTTAAAGAGCAACTCTCAAGTGATCACATAATTGATCACATGTATGTTTAGAGAAGGAACAGCCAATCAGAGATATGGATTTACCCCACATCTGCTATATTGTACTTTATTTAAAGTGGTATGTCATTCTGCAATAACTCTTTAATTTTTTTTAAAGAGTTAATTTGTGTTTAATCCATAATATCTTCAATTGTTACACATGTGAAATTCATAACAATCTATAGGAAACTAGCTGAAATGGCAACACAATTCTGTTGCAAGACATTCTGCTGTTGGTAGAGAAGGTACGTCAGATAAATTGTATAATAAGGAGAATTTAGTACCACACTGACAAGTGCAGAAAATGAAGATACATGGAATGTTACTGTAAACAAAATCAATTCCATATTTATTCTTGTTGTTTGCACCCCTGATAAATGCAAAAAAGAAAAAGGAAAGAGTGGTGTTCTATCCTTCAAATGCAAATAATAGGCTAAAACTATTCTATTCTTAATTACAGTGCCTCAGCTAAAGTATTATTTATCATGATTAATGATATTTTGCACAATTACAGCATAAACAGAGGTGTTTGCCTTCTGTGTTTGTACTGCAGTTACTGTATGTACAATAGCATCTAGTCTTAACCAACCTAAGAGAGTATATTTTAATTTTATAAATAACTTTTATTCTTAAAATTGCAAAGGAGTAAGTGTGTGGATTTTAAACTTTTATCTTTAACTCAAGTTCAAAATTTTACTTGTAGCTATTTGATAAATATGGGCACAGGTGTAAGTGTAGTCTTATACTTTCCTCATCTGCAAGTATGCTAGGGTCCACCCGAATGACGTAAATCTTTGCATGAGAGGGTGTACGCTCTGTGTGGACGTCCATGTAGCCTCTAATTTGTTGTGTCCGCATGGCCACTACACTACAAGGGCACCAACTGCGTATTCTTCCTCCAATCGAGCTCCAAGAAGACCAGAAAGTAGTATAAAAAGAACAACTACAGGTCCACAGCTTTCCATGTGTGCATCCGCAGAGGAGTACAATTGAAGCTTAACACATGTCATTAATGCCTGCAAATGTACCTGAGCTACTGTGCACAGCTGAATCGGTTAAAGCAGCGAGGGTATTCCTGTGGCAATATTACATGTGTCATTCACAGAAAGGAGAAGATTGTTGCTCTAAGTCAGTCTCCTCCTTATCTCAGTGGCTGTTATGTCTGTGCACATGACGGACATGTACTACCAAGATAACCAATTAAAAAACACTGTCTTGTCTTAGACGTGAAGTAATTTCTTCAGGAAAGATGGCATTTTCCATGTACATCTGTCAACTGTCTTTACTATACAACTAGAAAAACTGAACTGAGAACCTCCTCTTTTTTCAATCACTCCAACTCTTCTTATATCATTTCTTTCCCTCTCTACCTCCTCCCCCTTTCATTCCTTCATCTCTCCATGGCCAGGGGTTGCTTTTCTATCCTCCCCTTGTCCTCCGAGGCACTAACTGGCATATTTAAATGTCTTTAAACACCATTCCCCTCACTGTTGCTTTTATATGTTTGTGTTTGAGGCTTACATAGCAATTTAGATGTCTCTCTCCAAATGTCATATTATTTAAACATCACTGGAGCCTTTCTCTTTTCTTCAATTTGTTTTTTCAAGGCATGCGTAGATTGAAGAGTTGTGGTTGTAAATTGGTGTTTCAAGCAGCTCTGTTATCTGTCCTTTTGTCTTCATCTCCCTGTTCAAGGTGTTGTGTTTGGTCCTATTGTCTGTCCCTCTAGGGAATCTCTCCCAAAGTGGAGTTTGCCACGACATCAGTCATAGAAGAGAGTGATAGAAGAGACAGCTGGCCTGCAACCCCTGTAAGAATGACCTTTTATTACACACACTTTACAGTTTTTATACCTCTGTGCCAGTAACAGCCAGGGCCAGAGTTTTTGGGTGCATTATGTCTTTTGGTTGCCCGTCCATCCCATTATTGTGAATGTGATATCTTCGTAAAAACTTGAGGGAATTTCTTCAAATTTAACATTCACTTGGACTCAAGGATCAACTGATTAGATTTTGGTGGTCAAAGGTCAAGGTCACTGTGACCTCACAAAAAATGTTTTTGGCCATAACTCACAAATTCATACGCTAATTATGATTACAATTGCATACAAATGACGAATAGGATAAAATGATGAAGTGATGGCAGTCAACTCCACTGTGACATTATAATGTTCTGCAAAAACACTTCTGGCCATTTGTAACTCAGGAAGGTGAGATTATGACCATATTTCCTGCAACTTGGCTGGTTGGCGGAGGCATACAACTGTTAGGCAGTAATTCTAGTTCACATTTGCTGTGCTTTTTGTTTGCTCGCTCTTGGTTTACTTGAGTTACATCTGTGTTTGATCTGTAAAGTGCTTTGGAAGAAGTCTGCCTTTTATAAATAAATTTAGTTGTGTGTTCATGGCCTTTCAAAACAGCTTTGTCAAAATCAAAACAGTTAAAGTCCCTCAGATTGCCACTCAAACATGAAGCAAACAGTGTGTTTATCATCCTTCCTGGATGTATGGAGTTTGAACACATCACAGCTACATACTCTGCATCTCTGCAAGTGTTGACCACAGCTACAGCAGTGAAAACTATTCTCTAGAGTGCTCTAATGAGTGGTATCGCTCACCATCAAATTTGTCTGTTTCCACCATACATACCCACCTTCTATTGTTGCCATGGCTACTGCATCTATCCATCCATACTGGCAGTGTTTCAAGGATATCTGTTCTCTCCTTGTGAATGTAATTACATGGAGGCAGATCTGTGTTGCTGATAGCGAGACTTCTCTCACATCTCTGACTAGCTGGGAGTTGACACAATTTTTGTCAGAGAACCATTCAGTCAGTCAGTGAGCCAGTCAGTTTTTTACATTAACTATCCAGACGGTGGGTCACTTGTATCTCTTTCACTGTGTCCTTGTGGATTTTAAAGGGTAACTGTGCTCAGCTGCATTAAGTCACATATTAGATTGTAAGAGATTTATTTCATTCTGACTCTTTTTCTCTCTGCCTCTTCTTTTCTTGTGTGGATATCTTAAGTTTTGTTTTTGTCATGTTCCCATCCACAGTTGTTGTTTTCAACACAGAGCTGAAACTATTTATTGATTAATCTATTATTCAATCTTCACAAAAAAAGGCTTTTGGACAAATGATTAATGGTAATTTTTTAAAACAAAAAATGCCACACATTCCCTGTTCTCAACTTTTCAGTTGTGAAAATGTATTGACTTTTTTGACATTTGTCCTATTTAATAGTAAATTTAATATTTTTAGTTTTTGTATCGTTTGTACAGACAAAAAAAGCTAGTTTGTGGACACCAAGAGGGCAGACTAGTGCACCAGTGTTGAACTCAATAGAGTGTTATTTTAAAAAACAGGAGAAAGGAAAGTCCTGTTAGTATCATATGATCCATCACACAACGGTTGGCATGTTGTGCCAACAACACTACCATGCATTTCCCAGGTGCAGTTACCTAAGCTAAGCTATTTGTTTAAATGGGATGTCATTGACAGCGAAGAAGATTGTCAGAGTGTTCTCCCAGCCCCTCAGGGGATGTCTGGATCAGAGCACCGCTGTGGCTGTCAGTAGAATTTCTCCATTTTCTCTTTCCTAATGGCTCCTCAGCATAGGCATCTCCCTGACTGCCAGCCCGCCCAGCTGACAAACCATGGCCTGTTTTAATAGATTTAGAAGGATAGCAACTTCTATAAAAACCCTCTGAAACTCTAGTTATGAATATACACCCATTTTTTCGCAATGCCTTACTCTTTTTCACCCAATTTCTTGTGCTTCTGTCTCCTCTTAGCTGCTGTCATTCTTATTTACATTTCTAGTTTTTAAGCCTTCACCACTCAGGAAAAGTGACTGTCACTGTTCGTCCACCATCAAAGAAGAGACGAGAAGAGATGAAGGAAGTCTGAGATGGTGGAGGATGTGTTGAATGAAGGGCATACTTGTCTTAATTCCATTAAATCAGACCATTCTCAAATGGCAACCTCAATGACGATTTATTCATAATTTAGTTTCTCTTAAAAATAGTTCTAATGTTGTGTGATTTCCCTAATTAGCATTTAGATTATCTTTGTTTTACAGCCAGGTAATGCCTCTCTATAATATTAGACGGGAGATGGCCATCAAATGCAATTAACATTTTATCTTAACTTATTTATCCCTGGTTGGCATTACCCGCAGGAAGAGAGATATTGCATGGGAGAATGATGTTAGTGGCCATTAGAGTTATTGAAGTAATTCTGCAGAGGTTGTCTCCATGGCAGTGTCGACTGCGAGAGCCGTTGTTGTTGTAACACTTAAGCTGGATGATTTAGCTAATGGTTTAATGGTTTTGTCCAGGGAGAACAAGTCTGTGTCGAGTGAGAGCAGCTGCCTTAATGGCAAAAATGGCTAATGCTTCTGTAAAGAAACAACATTGTGGTCTGCAGAGAAATCTAAACTGCTGAGACAAATGTTATGTGTCACCTCAAAATGGAGATCTGTGAGATTAACCCGACATGTTAGAACAACATATCAACTTTTCTCTCTCTCTATTTCTCTCTCATATTCTGTCCTTGCATCCTCAGAGCTGCTGTCTTTCTCCAATGAAGCCATCTTCAACCCCATCCAGACAGAGTTCAGCGAAAAAGTCTTCACCATCCAGCAGGCATTTTTCCAGAATAGATGATGGGAGCTTTGCCTCTTTGAAAGGTGCAAAGGAAAAGCTAAATACTGAGGCTAGCGTCACAAACTCGGCACCATCATCATCATCCAGACGTTCCCCTTCATCCTCATCTGGCTGCAGTCCCCGGAAAAACAAGAAGGAAAGAAAACATGCTTCTCCCAGAGTGTCTGTAGACTCTGGCTACCAGCAGCCTACAGTTTCGTCAATGGCACGAGCCCTGTCCCCTTACACTCACCGCAAGATGTGCCAGCTTTCAGAGGACGCCAGGCAGAGGCTCAGCCACCTCCAGCTGGGGCCTCACCACTTCAGAAAGGAGACAGAAAGTCAGCCACCCTTCTTGGTTAGAAACATCAGATATATTCTTCCAAACTGAAAGCAACTGATAAAAGAGTGGTGTGATGGTTTTTTTAATGCCAGCAATACACATGTTTAGTGGACAGGGGTTACAACATTAATGGGATCCTGAATTGATGCAGTTCAAACCTCAGTGGGAGCTTCCCAAAATTTAACTTAATCTATTGGGCAGATTAAGTGGAGGGCATAATAAGAGCAGTGTTAATCTTTTTACCTGAGCCGTTAATGCATTTTGACGTCATGAAAATGTTTCACTATGTGCACATTTAATATGGCCTATTATCCTCACAGAGTGGCTTGAGTGTTCTTTAATAGCACACAACCTGTATTTAGGCTGGTTATTTGCTAAGTCTTTAATTATGACCGTATCACTGTTATGAGATATTTGCATATAAAAGGGGTGATTTTCTGATCACACAGCCTTGGGGAATAATATACAGTCGATGGACAAGAACAACACAGCCTCTAGTCCTCTGCTCCTCCCTCCCTCTGCTCCCCACTGTATTCCTGCTTCTTCATTTACATCAAATCTAATCCTGAGGTATGAATATCAAAATCCACTCGCATGCTGTTATTAAAAGAAATGATTAGGTACTGAGTTGTTTGTTTCTGTCACACACATGAATGGAATCTACTAGAATACAACGGGCGTTTTATTAAAGTGAGGAGCATGCTTTTCCTGCTCTGGTTTTCCTGGGGGAATCTTCTGTCGACAATTAACCCTGGTAATTGAGAGTCAAGCTGCAATTAACAAATAGATACCTAATGAAGTAGCTCAGCCCCATGGTGAATGCATTATCAGTGCACGTTTCAGAGCCTCAACTCCTGGTTTGTGGTTTGTGTGTAGAGGGAAGCACATTCCTATAGATAACCTGAACTGTGTTGTTTGAGATACTGTAGGTGCTTACTCTGTAAAAAGTCTTGTCTTTGTTTCCTTTACACCTTATTGTAATCTCCTTGGTGAAATGCTTTGAACTTGAGATGACTGCACAAATATGAAATATGCTGTTGATTTCATTTATGCAATATAACAGACTGATTGTGTCTGTTTTTGTCATGGCAATTTAAACTAGGACAGTGTTAATTATACTGTTTAACCTCAAGTTATTTTTTTCTGTTGTGTTTTTATGCCAGGTCTCTCGTCGCAGTAGTGTCTCTGGGATGGGAACTCCTTCCTCCTCTCCCCACAATGGCAGCATGCATCGATACTCTTTTAGCTCCTCAGCTGATCAAACAGGTACTATCGGCTCCCAAAGCAATGCTATACATGTTATACTAAACTCCCCGATTATAATATCATATGAAGTCTTTTATAATAAATAGTTTTCAGGTTCAGATTGTTCAGTGTCATATGAATGTCTTTTGTAAAACTAACTTGTCTTTGTTGTTTTAGATTCTTCTTTACTGGGTAGTTACAGACCAAGAACAGACAGAGTAAGTCTAATTATAACATTTCAAACCAGAAAATACAATGATCTACTGTTTTGATCAGTAGGATGGTGTTAAGTGTTCAAATGTTGTGTACTGAAGGGTGTTTTGCTGCAATTAAGAAGTGTCTCTTTACTTTCGGTCAAATCAGTTACACATACTATAAACTAGATTTAATGAAATTGTGTTTTTGTCTTACCTTTCTCACATGACCCTTGTCTGACCTTTGTTTTTGTTTGACCCTGATGTTAATGAATTCCTTACTTCACTCTTACGTAAACTGTGTTGCCTGTAAACTGTGACCTCTCCTAGCTGAAATCAGGTTCTGTGAGGGTCCAGTCATCTCTAGAGACACAGTCCAGACAAGAAGCCCAGACAAGAAGCCCTGTGATAGGTTCTCCTCCTGCACACTCTACCGTGGTTATGTCAAAATCCAGAGGTCCTCTGAATCTCAGCAACCATTCCCTCAGAGAAAGGTAAAACCATTCCCTTCAGCCTGACCTTGAAAATACTTGCATCTGTTGAATCTTTTAAATGTTTGTAAAATGAAAGGGTGTGTTCATCATCATCAATGTAACAATCATAAAACTGGATCTTTACTTCCTAAAGGTTTGTAGAGAGATCCTCTTTGTAGTGTTCAGAAATTAGGCCAACAAACAAGTTTCTGTTGATGTTGTGACAAAATTATTCTAAATTCTACTTGTGATAAAGTGAGCCCACCTCTGAGCTCTGAGTTTGGCTCTTCTCGCCCCAAAACCAGCTGATTTTCTGACTCACGCCAAAGAAGGAGATAACATAATCCTCTTTTTGTGGTGTTTGCCCTGAATTTATCCTGATCCATCTGTGTAAATCATTGATGTTTGCTCAAAAGATCTTAAAAGCAAAAGAGACACCTGTATGAGTTTGCGATTACTGTGTACGGCAAATATATGGCAATCCCATGAGACGTTAGTCATACACTGTCGCTGCTTTGTGTGCATGTGGGTGCGCGCTCATACACATCCAATCTTTAATTTTGATTACACTCGACAGGCAGGATGAATTCCCCTCCACCTCTTAAATTACAGAAGCTGATGTCTTGTCATGTTTGTTCATTACTAAGAGAGGAGGCAGAGAGAAGGGAAAACAAAGAGGAAAATGGTATTGATTTGTGTTTCAGCTTGAGTCTGATGCATTTGACCCGATGCACGCTTTAATACATTCAGAGAAACCTTGTCATCGATCATGGCAGCTGTGAGTTGAACAAACCAATGGGACTGATATTCCGTTTTGTTTGTTTGTTTGTTTCTGCTCTCCTTTCCCCTTCCCCTCTGCTCAGTCCATAAGCAAACATTAAAATCAATAGTCAATCTTAAATTGCAAAGTAAATTGTAGGAAATGAATGATACTTTTCTCTCAATTGAAAACGCGAGAAGGTTTGCAGGGTGGGAGATTAGAGTGGGCCTTTGTAGATTCCCTCTGACAGGGAGAGGGGCACGTCTTACCACAAATCTTTGATCTATAAAGAAAATGACAGATGCCAGTGGCAACGTTTGCCCCCTAAGCCCCGAAGTCTCAGTCTATTCATGTCTCTGGATGATTTGTCCTTGATGACTTTTTGAAGCAGGTAGTGAGTTTATGTGATTACAGATGAAAAGCTTCTATTCCCACACTGCAGGCCTGGCCAAGACACCAGTCAGTCCGTCAGTCAGTCATCACCCCTCCACTCCCAACAAATAGACAGAAGTGAATAGTAATAAATTGCAGTATTGCCTCTCATTCATGTCTGTCTGTCAGTGCAATCTGTTATTTCACAACTGCCTGTGGCCAACTTGCAGACACATTTATATTGTATTGATGAAGCACATTTATGCCTCCAGTTCAAAAAGACAGTTGGTTCTGTCAATTGTGACATTACTTTTCAGGGCTGAATGTAGAATAACATTTACATGGGGGGAACATTGATGTTAATTCCAAGATATTTTAAAAGGATGATGTTGAGCACAGGATACACTAAAGCATTTGCTATGTCAGTGTCCTGGTAGTTTCAGCTTTGCATCTGCTCACCATGTCTTATGTTAGGTTATAGCACAGACTAGTGGACAAAGGGAATACTTATCACAGCATCTTGAAAGGAAGGCAGGCCATGTTTGCAATATGAAACAGCTGAAAGCTGAAACTGTTTATTGAGTTAGTTGATTGTTAAAAATCATTTTTCAAGCAAACATTCAATGGTTCCAGATTCTCTCATGTGCAGATTTCTTGTTTTTATTTTATATTATTGGAAATGAATATCTTTGTCTCCTGGACTGATAGTGCTAGAGACCCTGTGATGGGCATTATTCACTATTTTCTGACATTTTATATATGAAACCTTTTTTGGCTTGTGAGCCATTAAAACAAAGCCATGTCTACTTGCACGTTTCTTTGCCTTACTTTACTAGTCCCGAAGAAATTAAATTATCCACTAATCCCCCAGAAAAAAAGTAGTTGTGTGGTATATGCAGGTATATGTGACTCAGGCTCAGTTAATTGAGTTTATTTGATCAATTGATTTGCAATGAGCCGTCTCTTGGTATTTGTTTTCCTTAGGCTCCAGACCAGTCAGCCCAGTCCATCCTACTGGGAGGAGATCCACAGCCGAGTTCAGAGAATCCTGCAGACACACAGAACCACCTGGGACCACCAAGTGGCCTTTGACCTTTAACCTTCTGATGAAAATGTAACCAAATAATTTGAATTGGCAGTGCAAAGACTTTCAATGTTAAACTTGTTACTACAGGCTGCACTAACCTGTTGATTTTAACTATACATGCCGTAAGTTGTCTGTAGGATGGACACACACACACACACATCCAGACAATAACACACTTTCTTAACCTCAAGATTTTATCATTCAGTGAGCCGAACCAATCTCACACACGTATCTTTATTTATCTGAATTTGATGTTCATTTACATTTCAAATCTTCCCAGGCACCTGCTGAGCCGTGTTTGTCGTCATTACTGTTTGAAAAGGCAGGAAATTTGCAGGGGTTATGTTCAAACGCATAGCAGCACAGCTTCCCTCCCACCCATCAGCTGGGCTGTGTTTTAAAACGCCACGATGGTGACACCAAACTGAGACGTCGTTTAATTTCTCTAAAGCAGTGTGTGAAATTGGCTCGGCTATAAAGAAGCAACATTTTTTGTGCGTGTGTGTGCGAAGGATTGGGGGGGGGGCATGGTGGATGTAAGCTGCAGCTGTTAAGGACTCATCTTTCACAACACAAAAGAGAAACAAGAAGGTAGCCAAGAGCCACAGTTGGGAGCCAAGCTACAAGAGACTGAAGAGGTTTAAGCGAGAAAGGAAGAACAAAAGTAAAATCCTGAATGAAAGCACAAAGAATGTATCCTTAAACACACATTAAGACAGTCATTCAGATCCATAGTGTTACACTGAAATGTCTTTAATATTTAAAATCAAAACTATGTAGATTTTGTATGCATGTGCTCTTGACACAGAAGTTGTCTGCTCTTTATGATAAACACTTAATCTCTAAGACAGTGTTTCATTTAAGCATAGTAGCTTACATCTTTTATTATTGCTAATTAAATGAAGTGCAGCCGCAGTATCACAAGAGATTAATTTTAAATTATACTAAATGAAGGAAATGTATTACGCTTTACATACAATGAATGATCATGAGTTTCTTCAATGCAGTGGGTACAGTCTAACTAAATGTGGGGAATCTAATTAATAGTCAAACTACAAGTCCCTTCTGGATTCCTCTCTAAGAATATTACAAGTAACTTAAAATGTTTAAAAATGTAACTTTACATGGTGTGACCTCAGCGTTTGACTATATACAACACAGTTAAGACAATCAGGACACTAGTTTCTTTTTTTGTCATAAATGATAATGGTGTTGATAATTCATCCTACAGGACAAAACTTTATTTTCAGAATGTGATGTGTTTAATTTAGGAGAAGCATTACAAACATTGGTGCCAGTCAAAAGAAAATATTTTAATGTTTGATGCATGTATTTTTGCAGATTCCCGCACAGCATTGTACAGGTCCATTTGATTAAAAATCTGTTTGTTTCAGTTGTAAACAGAAGCATGTACACCATATTTACTGATAACTGTTCAAAGGAAGACTTTTTTACCATCACACTGACTGAATCCACTTGACTTGTATCATCTTCTCAAACATGAAACAGTCAGTTTCTTCATGCAGACATAAACTCAATCCATCTTTAGCGATGAAGAGGAGTGAATGAGAGGGATTCTGTAAAGCTTCATATTTAAGTCCCAAAATTGATGCTTGATTGATGCTCTCTGATCATCAACAACCCACCCCCTGTTGAACACTTGGAGTTGATACCAGTGTCTGAAAATCCACTCAAAGTCTTCAGATTTACTTCTTATGGAATTTATTCTTCTTCTTGTTCCTCTTGCCAGCTCCCTGCGCTGCTTTCTCTGTCACAATGTGCTGGTATTTCTTTTTGTTGTTGCTGGTAAGAGAGGAGGAAAATAAATTTTATGTTTGCATTTTTCAAAGTTGATGGAAAGGATTTGGGGAACAAGCAGTGTTACTTTGCCAAGTTCTTTTGTACAATGTATCTTTATACTTTGTTATTGAAAATTCTCCAGTGGTGCCACAAAACTAAGCTCACACAACCCAAGCATAAGCTGCGGTAGTGTTACGCTGTGTCCTCTGCCCTGTCAGAGTCTGTGACCTGATGAGAAATTTCAGCTGTGTTGCCAGTGAAAGTTTCCGATGGTTACATAGTGATGGCTGTTGAAAAATTGTGATGGTGAAATATTTCAAATACGTAACCGTGTCTAAACACTGACAGTGTTACTGGTGTCCTGTATATCCCTGTCTGTACAGCACTTAACCTGTAAATATTTGAAATTCAAACCATCAGTCTGCTTCACAGTTTAATCTTGTGTCCCAGGATCTGATGAGTCACTAATTTCAGTTGCTAATTACTAATATTCAAGGAATCTACCAGATCGAGATCAGCAGTATCAGTGTAATCATTTGCAAATCATTTAGCTGTTAAAGCTAATTACCATGTATTGGTTTAGACCAGATGCATGGTGCTCTTCAGGCCACTTGTTTTTTATGTACTTGATCATACAAACATTTATTATCTTCTTATTACTCAGTTAACATCAGCTGCTGTTGGAGTTGGTTTCCTTTACAGGGGTAAATTATTGCTTAAAATTAGGAATTTTCATTTGAAGTGAGGGAGAAATTGAGAGAGGTAAAGGCTGCCTGAAGACATAGTTTCTTCAACACTTCCAATGGACACTGAAACCTTGCTAGAGATGTGACATAATCAGCTACATATACTGATGATGTTTGTCTGTGTGACCACACTTACTGTCTGAACTCAGCATCAGCCAGCAGCTCCTCCACCATGGTTCTCTTCCTCTCCTTCTTGGGAATACGGGAATGATAAAAGTCGACTGCATTGTCCGCCACTGTACCAACCTGTATCACATACACACAAACATAGATGTAAGAAAAAAAGATATTTGTAGCTTCATGCAGCTGTTAATTAAATCTACAGGCATTTGAAAGGTTGAAAAATAAAGATTTATAACCATGTTTCTAAAATATGGAGATTTGTGTGTTATTGACAGGAAATTTGAGGAGCTTTTTTTTTTTTTGACCTGAAAATACTTGGGAAAACCATCTCTGTCGTTCTTCTTGTAGAACCTCTTGGGGTCCATGGAGCCTCTCATCTTCAGGACTTGGAGGTCTCCTTTCAGCTCCTGAGAGATCTCAGGGGCTTTCATATTAAACCAACCGTCTCCTGTTGATTTCTCCCTCTCTGCCTGGGAAACACAATGACTTCAGTTATTTCAGTTGCATTTTAAAAGTAGTTGCACAGACTTGGAATATAAACTGCTAATATGTATTATTTATGATGACTGCAGTGTATCTGTTTGGCAGTATGTGCCATCATAACTGATTTCACAAACCAGAGCATTACTGTGTAAAACTTACTCTGTGTTTCAGTTTAGTGGCTTGTTTGGATTCACTGTATGGAGGCACCGCATCCTTCTTTTCAAAGTCTGGTCCAATCACACTCTTCTTCATCACCTGAGAACCACAACAAAAAACTTAAGCACTGCAAAGCACCAAACTTTGTCAACACTACTGCCAAGAGATAAAAAAGGACAAAGTCAAAAAGAATTGGAGGGGAAACCATGAATAACACCATATCAGGTGTTATTGGATTTATTCACCCTTGCATAACTATATAGTTCATTATTAATTCTGCATCATCTTCAAGGGGAATAAAAATCAATCACATATTTACCTCATCTTGGATCTTCTTTTCCTTTAGTTTTTGCAGCGAACTGGAGACAGGTTTTGATTTGCTGCCATCAAAATTGATGTATAAACCCCCGAGCTCCTTCACTTTGATGCCGGGGTCAATGCGGCTGGACATCTCTTTCCTGAAACAAATTGGCACAGAGAAAATTCCTCAGGAGGAGCAGTCATGTCTCATTTCTCACCTCTGCACACAGTTATAATAATAAAACATAATAATGATGATGTGTCTGAAGAGTGTGGCTGCACTGACTATATGTGCTCAGCATTTTAAGGATAAGCTTGGTGATATTCTGCATTTTTCTTTTAGCCATCAGAACTCATGAAAAGCCCAAAACCAACAATCAACCTACTCCTACTAACAAATATTGTCTGTGTATCTTAAGGCTGATATATCTTATATATCGTGTCGTAGAGCTTCATTGTTGTCCAAAAACTATTAAAAACACATTAGTGAGCCGCACTGCGTTACTTCCTTGTTGCAAAAAAAGAAAAAAGAAAAGAAAACAACATGGGAAAGTCGTTTTCCCAAAATGTCAAACTATTCCTTTAACAGGATATTGCGTAAAGCCAGTTTTATCCTTTAGTCACATGTTGCAGATATATAAGCCTGTATAATGTGTACTCCTGAGTGAACGAACCAGTCGGAGGCTGTCACTTTACATATACTTACAGCTGAGGATTTCGACTCCAGAAGAGGATTTTTGCATCATCATCATCATCATCATCCCCCTCCTCATCCACAAACTCGTCATCTTGCTCATCCTGTTCAGCTTCTTTATTTTTGGCCTCCTCTTGCTCTTCTGTGTGCCTCTCCGTGTAGTAATGTTCATCTGCCTCTTGTCCGGGCCGTGTGTCAATCATAAACAGTCCTTCAACTGATGCAGCTGCTGCTTCTGACTTCTTGGAAGGTCCACCTCTCTCCTCCTCCTCCTCCTCCTCCTCCTCTTTCTCCCTGTATTCCAAATCCTTCTCCTCCTCTTCTCCAGAAACTTCTCTTTCCTCCTCTTCAGCATATTCATCTTCATCATCGCTGCTCTCCAGCAGGCTGATTACTTTTGTTTTCTGGACAATGACGTCTTTAGGTTGCTGTTCAGAGTCAGAATCCACTGTAATCTTTTGCTGCTGTCGAGATGTTACCTGAATGGACTGGACTTGGACGTCGCCAGAGTCAACCACCTGCTGAGTATCTGTGTTCAGTGTGCTGACTTCCATTTTCTCCTCCACACTGGTCTGGGTTACTATAACTGCATCCTCATCCACAGCTTTATCTTCCTGTGATGACAGGGTGTCCACGTCAGCTATCTCCATAGGTTCGCCCTTCTCCTCAATGATTTCAGAAGCCTTCTCACATAATGTTACTACAACAGATTGGCAAGGCTTTAATGGCTCTGATGACTGGATCATTTCCTGCATCATTTCCATCTCTGAGGTATCCCCGTCTTTAGTTTCAGCAGACTGCTCCTCCTGCTGGTCTTTGGCCATCACTGCAGGCTCACTCACAACCTCCTCCTCTTCTCCCTTTTCCACTCTTTTTGTATCCGTCTCATTTGATGTGAGATCAGCACTAATCAAATCCTCTTTTTCTTCTAATGTTTGGCTCTGTTGTTCCTCCAACAGTGTGCAGTCTGCGTCCTCAGCAATCACTGTGCTTTCTAACCTAGAGTCATTTAATGAACTGTCCTCTTCAATGGGCTCTGCAGCTTTTTCAAGAACAATGCAAAGGTCTTTCACTGAGCTTCTGGACGCTGGAGCACCTCTGCTGCTGTTCCACGAGCCTGTGCGGCTGCTGCAGGGAGTTCCTCTGGCTCTTGTGGAGCAGGGGCTGCCCACTGGGGAATGCGCATCCGTCATCTCAGAGTCTGAGTCCATGGCTTTGGGACCTGTGGATTGGGCCTTGCCCCGTCTACGAGTAGTAATACTGTAAGTGGGCCCGGACTCAAAACCTTCAGAGTCACAAGATGGGGGCTCGCTGCCCTCCATATTGGCTGATGCCTTCCCTCTTGCTGCCCTCGTCCGTCGACCAGTCGGGGCAGGGGAGTGCGAGCGCTCCGAGGACTCGTCTAGGTGTATGGGGATGGGATTTGTTTGTCTTCTGGATTTTGTGGCTCTGCGGGTGGTGGACTTAGAAACTTCTGAGACGGTGGATGTACAGCTGTCAGCATCTGAGACCTCCAAGTCCTCAGTTTGTTTTTTGGCAGAAGATCTGGTGCGGGTTTTTCTCTGACTTCTGGTGACTCTCTTGGTTTCGGACACCACAGAGCTGCAGGACTCTGTCTCCAGGACCTGGTCGACTTTGATTCCTCCCACCCCAGCATTAGTTGGGTCAGAACATTCAGGAGCTGTCTTCCTCCTTGTGCTGCGGCGACTAGTTTGGCCAGTTTTTGATGAAGATAAAACAGAAGAGCATGATTCCACCTCCGATATCTCCTCATCTCCCTGACTTACTGCACGGGGCTGTCTCCTCCTGCTGCTGCGTGTCACTGGTAGTTCAATGTCGGACAACACAGAGCAACAAGACTCCAGGTCTGAGATGTCCGCTTCATGGGTAGAGCCCACTGGTGTGCAGGGTTGCTCTGGACTGTGTAGTCTGGAAGCTCTGGTGCATCTTTTCATTGAGGAGGTCGGTGAAGATGCTGGAGATGCTGGAGGTTCTCCCTCGCTTTTCTCAAGCTGGCTGCTGGTCCCCATGAGGACATGATGGGTAGTATTCTCTGCTTCTTTAGCAGCACTCCTGGTTCTCCGACCAGTGGAAGGAGTGGCCTGTGTGGCAGAAAGAAGACAAAGTCAGTAAAAAAATGTATCTCAAAGTACAGGGCTGCCGTTTTTCTATTCTTATCATCAACAAAGACCAAACCAGCACTGTGTTACTCTGTCTTTTAACACTCTTTCTGGCTTTACTTCCCTGTCTGTAGGAAAGCTATAAACTGTAAGCAAATGTTACTCAAACAGGAGTAAGACGTACATTTATTGGGGATTTATTTTCAGCTCTATTATTAAACATTCGGTGCTCTACAGGGACTGTTTTCATGATAATAAAGGAACATGTCACTAGGTGACACGTGGGAGATAATAGAGCTCTATGCCATAGAGGAATAAGCTGTATTAGACCTTGGTTACACAGGCTATGCGTGTTAGTAGGATCAATCTATTAATGGTTTTGCAGCCATGTTGACAATAAAGAAAAATGTAGATTATAGATTAAATTGTTTTAACAGTAATGCATAGGATAATAGGATCTTGAAATCAAATTTTAAGACACACTGGCAGCCAGTGCAAGCACATTTCAAGTTTTTATTCATCTCAAACTGATATTAGATTCAAAAACATCTTATACAACTTGGATGATAAATAATCTTTCAAATTACATGTTAAGGAATTAACAAAAAAAATCTAGAGAGAAAACCCTAACCCCAAACTCTACAGTTAGTACATTCAGCTATCTTCTATGTACTTGACTATGATGATTTGTTTAAAAAATATGTAAACTCCTCCATCTACATGTATCCTAACAGCTCTGATTCTGATGTCAGTAGGACCCATGACGGGCGTAATTCTGCCCTCTTAGTCAGAAGGGACTCACAGAAAAATCTTAAATCTCTGCAGTTTAGGTATATTTACTGCTTCAGTAGACATCAGAAGAGTCTTGTTTTTTAATTTAACAGAGCTAAAGATAAAAAATAAAAAAAAACAACAACATTCAAATGTTTTTCACTCCTCTCAGTTGCACTGCAACACGATCTGAAAATGGATCGACTGATTTCAGTGGCCGTTTTTAAATTTTTAATCGAGACTTCCAATGACTGCACCTGCATAGACATAGTACGAACACATCTGAATCGAGAGAAGATCTTAAACTCAACTTTACGAAGAGTTTAGCTGCTGCATTCTAGTCTGTCAATCACACTCTGATTCGTGTGGGTTAAAACACCTTCAAATATGTTTAAAATGTAACTTCTTCTTCTTTCTTCAACAACAACACCCAAAGATTTACAAACTCTGCGCAGGGGACAGGCTGGTGCTGTCCACGTGTGTCCACACGTCAGATAACTGCCACGTGACAGGCTTCATTCACCTCGGACTGAACCTGTACACGATCTCTCAACTTCTACACGTTTAAATAAAATCTTTCTTTCCCACGTACCGGGACATCAGAGGACTGTTCGGGGTTTGTTTTCGCTGGATAAGTCACGCGTACTCCTCTCCTGGTGGCCACCATCTTGTTTGCTGCTGCCGCTGTTGCCTTCTCTGTAACTTCCGGTGTGAAGGCTAGACTCGAATAATCAACTCACCGAAATGACACAGTCCACAGCAGTCGAAGGCAGAGCTGTAAACCAACTTAAAATCACAAGTCAGTAGTTTAGTATCAAAAAGGGGAAGTCCTCAATGCAACACAAATTCGAGTGTTATATTATTACATATTGTGTTTTTATATTATTAATGCTGTTAGGGTGCAAATAACATTTTAATGTTGTAGTTGCCTGATGTGAAGGTAATTTAGACACTGTATGGTAGTTTAAGCTATGCCACTGCATTATTGATAAAAATGCTTTGTATTTAAGATCATAATTTTTTAAAGTAACTATTACATCACTGGATATAATAGTTTCTTAGTTAAAAGAGCCAGCCCAAGCCTTTATGGGGCCACAAGCAGAATTTGATTTGGCCAAGGGTGTCAACAGTGGTAGGAACGAAACAACCTTGCCACCCCTCAAAGACAAAAGAGATTGACTTTTTAATGTCATCAACCAAATGGTTTATTAACATATAAGATCTGAATATACATTCAGAAATGTCCACATGCAAATGTAATTTATCTGCATGTATTGAATCTCCATATATGGAATATATGTACATATGAAGCAAAATCATATATGTTATGCACAGTATAACCTATGAATATAAAGATTACACATGAAACCTATTTGAAACATTATTATAAATTGACATATGTGTCTAACTGATAGAAATATGAATTTTAGATTATCTGTTTATATTATAGGTTTATATTATAGACATATGTAACTTGAAAATCATAACCATCCCAAAACCTGTCAGTATATGTTAATTACATATGTAAATGTACAATGTAGACATATTATATAATGTTATAAAAATGTCATAGTATAATGAGGCATAAAATGTCATAAAAACACCACACTGTAAAAACACAAAAAGTCACAGAAGTAAGGCATAAAAATTTCATTAAAACGTGAAATTGTACTATGGCATGAAATTTCATTAAAAGGTCATAGTATATTAAGGCATAAAAAGACATAAAAACGACATAGTATAGTAAGGCATAAAAAGTCATAAAAATGTCATAGTATAGTAGGGCATAAAAAGTCATAAAAACAACATAGTATAGTAAGGCATAAAACGTCACAGTATAGGTAGGCATAAAAAGTCACAAAAACGTCATAGTATAGTAAGGCATAAAAAGTCATGAAAACGACATAGTATAGTAAGGCATAAAAAGTCATAGTATAGTAAGGAAAAAAAAGTCATAAAATCGACATAGTATAGTAAGGCATAAAAAGTCATACTATAGTAAGGCATAAAAAGTCATAAAAATGTCATAGTATAGTAGGGCATAAAAAGTCATAAAAACAACATAGTATAGTAAGGCATAAAACGTCACAGTATAGGAAGGCATAAAATGTCATAAAAACGTCATAGTATAGTAAGGCAAAAAAAGTCATAAAATTGACATAGTATAGTAAGGCATAAAAAGTCATAAAAAGTCATAGTATAGTAAGGCATAAAAAGTCATAAAAACGACATAGTATAATAAGGCATAAAGAGTCATAGTATAGTAAGGCATAAAAAGTCATAAAAATGACATAGTATAGTAAGGCATAAAAAGTCATAAAAACGACATAGGTATAATAGGCATAAAAAGTCACTAGTATAGTAAAGGCAATTAAAAAGTCATTTAAAAATGACATAGTATTAGTAAAGCCATAAAAAAAGTCCAATAGTATAGCTTAGCCATTTAAAAAGTCATTAAAACGACATAGTATCATTAAAGGCATAAAAAGTCATAGTATAGTACAGGCATTAAAAAGTGAATAAAAACGTCATAGTATAAGAAGGCATAAAAAGTCATAAAAATGACATAGTATAGTAAGGCATAAAAAGTCATGAAAACGACATAGTATAGTAAGGCATAAAAAGTCATAAAAACGACATAGTATAGTAAGGCATAAAAAGTCATAGTATAGTAGTATAGTAAGGCATAAAAAGTCGTAAAAACGACATGGAATAGTAAGGCATAAAAAGTCATAAAAACGACATAGTATAGTAAGGCATAAAAAGTCGTAAAAACGACATGGAATAGTAAGGCATAAAAAGTCATAGTATAGTAAGCCATAAAAAGTCATTAAAACGACATAGTATCATAAGTCATAAAAAGTCATAGTATAATGAGGCATGAAAAGTCATAAAAACGTCACAGTAAAGTAGGGAATAAAAAGTCGTAAAAACGACATGGAATAGT